GCAGAAGGTTCAGCCTGACCATGAGGAAACCCTTCTTCCCTGTGAGGGTGACAGAGCACTGAACAGGCTGCCCAGAGAGGTGGTGGAGTCTCCTTCCCTGGAGACTTTCCAAAGCCCCTGGACTTGTTCCTGTGTGATCTACTCTGGGGGATCCTGCTCTGGCAGGGGGGCTGGACTAGATGATCTCTAGAGGTCCCTTCCAACCCCTTCCACGCTGTGAAGCGCAACTACTTCCTCGCTTTCAAACAATATCTGGCATTTGAGAACATACTGTGGCATTTGTGACCTTAAATATCCATCCTAATGATCTGACTTTGCTTGAAGGACTTATGCTATTTTCCTTTTTGAAGTCTGAAGTGGATTTCCAGCTCAAACGATCTTCATCAGGGTAGTAGATTGTCAAGCAGTGCAACTACTATCTGCCATGTTTGTTGATTTATGTGTGCTGCGTAATGTTCTGTTTTGCCGTGGAGGAAAGGGTTGTTTGTGGGTTTTGTGTTAGAAGACAGGCCAAAGGTATGACTTACATTTGGAAGAGGCTGAGATTTGTGATGGGAGTAGGGCTGTGTAGTCTAGGACCAGCCCCAAGAAATGAGTACTGTGTGTATTTTTACAGTGCCTAGAAGCTCTGTCTCCGACTGGGACTGTGGAAAGAACAATATAAGCAATGAACAAAGAATTTATGAAAAACAGCCCTTGTCTCAAGGGTAAATCACAGGCTAAATAGCATAGAGGAGTCAAAACATTGATTACGCTGCCTTAATTAATGGTAGAGAGCAGGTCCAGCAGGGTAGAGTTGAGACCATCTATTTTCTTCCTTAGCTTTAGGTAGTCATATGGATGTTTTGGATCCCAAACACCAGAGAGTTTGAAGGTAAACACAGAGAGATTGCTCTTACTGGAAAACATATTTGACAGGCTTGTGGAGTCTGTTACCTTGAATTCTCAATTAGTGAGCACTGGGAGAAGGTACAATTACACATTTTCATACACAGGTCCTTGCCATCGAGTGGTCTGTGGCTTTCTCCATCCTTGCCAGAGCCTGAAACTTTAAAGTTGCCACCTGATTCCGTAAAGGCTGTGCTAACAGAGGACTTTTCTTTTTTTCCTCCTGCAGCAATGAAGTCTAAACTCGCCATGGTTGCGAGCGTGCACGTGTACAGCATTCAGAAAGCCTTGCTGAAGGACAGCGGGCCGCTCTACAACACAGACTACGATATTGTCAAAACCAACCTGCACAACTGCAGCAAGTGAGTTGGCCTGGTTTTTTTTTCTTCTTACACTACGTGACTTGAGACTGATGAGATGTTGCTACCTAGTGTGCTTCAGCAGAAGTCAGTAGTTACCAGAGATGCCTGGATTTTTTAGAAAGCTAGGAAAAAATATCCTCTAAGTCATGCCAGACCAGTCCCCAGGCAGCACATGGTGTGATTGTTTCGTAAGCCGGGCTGTTTCCAGCCTACGGTTGGTTCGCTTGCTCTATTACTCCAACAGGCAGGCAGTTCCAGTACCTTTCTTGGATGGCTAGAAACCTTTTTCTCATTTCCACGCCACACTTAATCATGAGCGTTTTTATCCAGCTCTCAGTCACACAATAAGAGTAAAATGAAACAGGCTTATAAAAACCTGAGTGATGTGCTCAGCAAAGCGCTGAGAGGAGTTTGCCTCATGTTTTGTGAGCCTGTGTTTTCATCCACTGGACTCATCCGCCTCTCTGATGATCATGGGATTACAGAATGGGTTGGGTTGGAAGGGACCTTAAAGCCCACCCAGTCCCACCCCCTGCCATGGGCAGGGACACCTTCCACTAGACCAGATTGCTCCAAGCCTCATCCAGCCTGGCCTTGGACATTCCAGGGATGGGGCAGCCACAGCTTCTCTGGGCAACCTGTCTCAGTCCCTCACCACCCTTTCCGTGAAGAATTTCTTCCTGGGGTCCAATCTTAAGATCTTCCTATAAGATTCTTACAGGAACTCATTGTCTCTATGGAAGATGAGAGCCTGAGGCGTAGGCATAGCTCGCAAAACAGGCCAAGCAGCACAAGTGTCCTTCATGCTTGAGCTAGAGAAGGGTTGTCCTGGAATTCAGAGGGACTTCAGTCTCCAGGGGTCATTGTCTCCCCTCCCGAACAGCGCCTGGCAGCTGTGGCTTTTCATTTATGTGTTACTTGCACCACGACAGCTTCAGCTTGATGTAATCAGGATGTCCAGTGCCATGACCAATCTGGGTTAGAAGCAGGATGCCTGAATGTTGTGTCACAGAGAGAATATAGAATTTGGAAGTAGAAACGTATCTGTCTTCAAAATGTTGACAAGAGAGTGGCTGAGAAAATCATGTTGTAGAAGCTGTGTGTTTCCCGTGTGAACGTGGGTACCCTGGTAAGTGCTGGAGAACCCTACTTCAGCGAGCACGCAAGTTTGGCTGCTGTTGCCCTGTTGCAGCCTGTTTACTCTCGGGCACCCCTGCATGGCGATACTTGTGTCTTAGAGGAGGGGTCTGCCTTCAGATTCTGAAGCCTGGGTGTAAATCCCTGCCTGGCTTAGGAGCAGTATTTCCCAAGCAAACTATGGAAAACTCAGCTTCTTCACCTGTGACCTGGCTGAACTAAATTCAGGCTGACTGTATTCCCTCTCCCTTATCGACTACATGGATTTTACACTTGAGACAAGATTCCTGCAGTACCTGCAAAAGACAGAGGCTTAACTTTGTGGATGTTGAGAGCAAACAGAACCTACTGGCTGCTTCTACTTCCCTCTCAGTCCGTATTTCTCCCAGGCTCTAGGGCAAGGATCTTCACTCTCCCGTGTTTGTGTGGGACCTGTTATGCTGCAAAGACAGTGAAGGAGGCTGGATGTTGTACTAATATAACCAACTGGATTTAATGCATGTTGCTAATGTCAGCATTCCAAGCGGAAGCAGCTCCTTGCTTGCAGAGCATAATCCAAACATGGCTTATTTTTTCAATGATTATTTAGTGAATTTTGGATCGAGCCCATAGGCTATAGTCACACAGCAGCGCTAAGGCGGGCTAACTTCCCAAGCGCCCGGAATGTGTGAGGTTTCGATGGGTTTGCTGCACCAAGGAGAAAACGTTGTTTGTAATCTGGAGGGTTGATGGTGTTGCTTGTGCCTGGGGAGGGGGAGAAGACTGTCTGCAGAGCAGTGTTACCATGCTGGAAGCAGATTGGGTATATAAAGGAAAGTGGGAATATTTTCCTTCAATGTCTTCTTTCCTTCCTTTAAAGGTTTGAATGTCACGAGTTTGCTGCTGCAGCCTAGAAATGCTGTAGAGATGGTGTTGTTTTGTTAATACGCTGCAGTTCCCGATCCGAGTAGAATCTGTGCGTGTGTGAGCGGCTGATGCTGAGGCATGGAAATTAATTGGCAGGAGACTGGCTTATTTCTTATGCAAATAAAAATATGCTGTGTAATTCAGTGGATTGGAAGGCGTGAGTCTCTGCTCTTTTGTGGCATTTCTGCAGGAAATCTGGAAAGCCTCGCCTGTGATTTGCACAGTGGGGAGTAGAGGTCAGTTATTTTTGGGTACTGCTATTCCTGACTGTCAGGGAATTGTGTTGTAACTGTGAGCACATCATTTAGTTCTTCTATCTCCGTATCCCCAAACAATCACGTTTCAGACTGTTACAAGCCCAGATGTATCTGTCTGCTGGCAATTACCTGGAAATGACTTTATACAGTGAAGTCTGAACGTCATGGGTGTCTTCTGAGCCACTGAAGTGGTTTAGCTTCACTTGTGATTTACCTACCTGGCTGGGACGATTGTGGCTGCTCGTTGCAGCAGATGTCAAACCATCTGAAAGTTGTGAAAGTTTTAGATCATCAGACAGCCGTACAATTTCTGCTACAAACTTTAGAGAGCATAACCCGTTTAGGAATAAAATGCAGTCTGCTCCATCTCTGCTCTGGGTGTGGGCTTCCCCCCCTCCCTGAAATCTGAACAGCTTGTTTAGCATTTGAATGCTCTGGCCTTTGCTGACAGGTTCAGCTGAGCTTTGCAGTAGCGGTCTCCATCGCTTTTGCTCTGTGCCAGTCTTTCTCATAGAATCGTGGAATGGTTTGGGTTGGAATGGACCTTAAAGATCATCTAGTTCCAACCCCCGTGCCATGGGCAGGGACACCTTCCATAGATCAGGTTGCTCCAAGCCTCATCCAGCCTGGCCTTGGACGCTCCCAGGGATGGGGCATCCACAGCTTCTCTGGGCAACCTGTGCCAGTGCCTCCCCACCCTCTCCAGAAAGAATTTCTTCCTGATATCCAATCTAAACCTCTCTGTTTTCAATTTAAACCCGTTACCCCTTGTCCTGTCACTACAGACCCTTGTAAAAAGTCCCCCCCAGCTTCCTTGTAGCCCCCTTCAGGTACTGGAAGGGGCTATAAGGTCTCCCAGGAGCCTTCCCGTCTCCAGGCTGAACAAGCCCAATTCTCTCAGCCTTTCATCATAGGGACATTTTTCTTGTCCCATACACAAATTAATTGCTCTGTAGGTTTTTTCCTTCCCCCTAACAGAGGAACACAGAACCAGACAAGCAAGGTGCTTCCGGCAAGGAAACTGAGGTGAAAAGTAAGAAGTCAAAAGGCTAATTAAATTTTTCACTCTGTCACACAGGTTTAGTGCCATTCACTGTGCCGCTGCCGTCCCCAGGCCGTCAGCCGACGTTTCTCAAGCGCAGACATCCATGCAGGCTGGTTCCCAGACGCCAAGTGACACGAATGCTGTCAGCGGACCTGCGGTCAACGGCCACGCTCCATCGACCGCTAAGCAGACCTCGCAGCAGCCCAAAGGGATCATGGGAATGTTAGTGGCGAAAGCAGCTTCCAAACCCCAGGACACAAATAAAGAGACTAAAGCAGAGGCTAAGGAGACCCCAGGTGTAAGTTATCTCAGACCCTTTGGGTTAATGGCTCTTCTAGCTGCACTCTAACTCGACCTAAATAACCTTAACCAGACGTAGTGCAGCCTCCTCCGCTGCTCCTAAACTTGCTCTCCACTTGGAATGCTCGGTCAGTCTTTTGTAAGTATTTAACTGTGTAGTATTATAGAATCACAGGATGGTTTGGGTGGGAAGGGACCTCAAACCCCACCCAGTCCCACCCCCTGCCATGGGCAGGGACACCTTCCATAGCCCAGGTTGCTCCAAGCCTCATCCAGCCTGGCCTTGGACACTCCCAGGGATGGGGCATCCACAGCTTCTCTGGGCAACCTGTCCCAGTGCTCCCACCCTCTGCAGGAAGAATTCCTTCCTGATGTCCCATCTCCATCTCCCTCTTTCTGTTTAAACCCGTGATGCCCTGTGCGGTGACGCCTTCTGTCACTCATCTTGGGGAGTTGTGCCACACTCTTACCTATCCCTAAAAGCGTATCTGCCATAACTTGTGCCGCTTTGACGTTCCTCCGTGAGCCAGATCTCCAGTGAGTTTAAACCAGCTGCATTATTGAGCCAATTATTCCGTTGTCCTCAGTTATGCCAATATATACACCGGTTGAGGATCTCGCTCTCTCCATTGTGCTTAAAAGGATTTGTTTTAAGCAGTAAGTGAAATGTGAGAAGTCCAGGTCTTAAAAGTATCAAGGTGTTTAAACTTGGTCTGCGAGGGAAATTTCAGAGCTTGACCTGTGCGAGACTAAATTGTTTATCTTCTCAACTGCTGGTTTTTTTCCCAGGGTAGGATTATGTTTTGAGTTTAATTAGTATAATTGCTTTTAAAGCGATGTGGTCAGTAAATGGGTATTAAAATGGTAACGTTCCCTGCATATGGTTTGGCTTTTTTATAACAGGTGACTACATTTTAGTTCATTTTTCTGATTTTATAGTGAATTTAGAATGGGTAAAATAAGCGGGTCTTGTGTTTTTTTGAGAACTTTAGCATCCAATTGCTTTTTTTCATGAAAATAACTGGGATTAGGAGACAAAGCTTTCTTAGGTGGGTTTTTTTGTGTGCGTGTGTGGTTTCTCACTTTGGTGGTGCTATATTAATGGAATAGAGCAGTGATTTTTTTATTGTATTTTTTGCAAATGGCTCAGGAGAACAGCATACGTGCCAGAGTAGCTGGATAAATTCTTCATGGTTTGGCCAATCTGTGTTCTCTGTCGGTTACTGTGAATTGAGGCACTGATAGTTTGCAAAAAGAACAGTTCTTTACTGGGAACTGACCCAAATCCCAACCACTTATTTCAGTAACACTGTCAGCCATCAGATAGGAATGTGACCCAAGTTAGATTCGAAGGCCTAGCTAAGGAGTCGTAAGTAACTTACTCTTCACCCTTTGATGCATGTAATACCTTGCATCTCCAAATTCTCCTACACAGAAATCAAGGACACTGACTACTCCAGTATTTATTTTGCTTGTCCAGAAGCAGTACTGTGCCTACTGAGGGTTGTGTTGCAGCAATAATTCCTGTGGTTACTCCTCTGTTTTCTTCTAGGTGTCTGCAGTAAGCAGCAAACCACCAGCAAAGAGCAACATAATGAACAACTTCTTTGGAAAAGCTGCCATGAGTAAGTGCTTTATAATATCCATCTGGTTTCAGAAACCATTGTGGTCAGGGGAAAAAATAACCCAACATAAAATCTGGAGCCCCCAGTAGCAGAAGGACACGGAGCTGTTGGAGTGAGTCCAGAGGAGGCCCCGGAGATGCTCCGAGGGCTGGAGCCCCTCTGCCATGGGGACAGGCTGGGAGAGTTGGGGGGTTCAGCCTGGAGAAGGGAAGCTCCAGGGAGACCTGAGAGCCCCTTCCAGTGCCTGGGGGGCTACAAGAAGGCTGGGGGGGCTTTTTCCAAGGGCAGGGGGTGATAGGACAAGGGGGAACTGGTTTAAATGGAAAGAGGGAGATAGAGATGGGACATTAGGAAGAAATTCTTCCTGCAGAGGATGGGGAGGCACTGGGACAGGTTCCTAGAGAAGCTGTGGATGCCCCATCCCTGGGAGTGTCCAAGGCCAGGCTGGATGAGGCTTGGAGCAACCTGGTGTAGTGGAAGGGGTCCCTACCTGTGGCAGGGGGGGGGGCTGCGTGGACTTTAAGGTCTCTTCCACCCCAAACTGTTCTGTGATTCTATGCATTTGTGAGGGATATTGGAAATCTCTCTCTGTTTTTAATTGGTACTTAGCTAAAAAATAAAATCGGTGATACCGTGTGTCTTGTTATACTACTGTGGTGGGAGGCATAAGCAGAAAGGGGCAGAACTCTTCTTGCTCTGCCTCACCAAACTTGCTGGATTTTCTTTATATCCCCTCTTTTCTTATAGTCTACCATACTATTCTCTTTTGGACTCAGAGGGGTTAATGGTTTTGTATGCAGCTCTTAAAGGCAAAAAATGGCAAGTTGTAAGTTGATTTTTTCAGACCAAAAGCTTTGCTGGATGGAGATCAATTAAAATGTCCGATTTGTGCAGCCTAGCCCAGGAAGGGTTTTTAGCGCAGAAGAAATCAGATTTAAAGCGAGTACTTCTGGCTGGAAAGTTGGCTGTTGGGAACACATTTGCCAGAGGCTGTTCCTCAGGGTGTGTTAACGATGCTCGCTTTGCATCCTGAGTCGCGGAGGAGTCTGGAGTTAAGAGTTAATTACTGAATTAGCTAATAAGCAGGGGATAAAAATCACGGTGGCTTTCCCCTTTGAGGAGTTGTTTGGACTAGGTGGCCTCTGGAGATCCTTTCTGATCCCGGAGTTATCCGAGTCTAAAGAAAATACACTGGAGCTTTTAAATAGACATTGGAAAAGGGACTGCAGGACTTTCTTCAAAGGTGCCCTTATAGTAACGAGTACAAGAGGTTCAAAGAACAGTTACTGGGAGCGAGTAAACAGCAAAGTTCCCTTTCTAACAGACATCTGTCAGAGCTCGCAGGGTACAGTTCCAGCACTGAACACACAAGAGACACTATGTTGGGCATCTCTGAGTTCCTGTTTTTGTGAGACGGAGGGAGCTGAGGACACTTGCAGCCGAAGCTTCACAAGCCTAAGCACAGTTACTACAATTAAGTAACAAGATCAGACAAGAGCCCTAGACCAAAGTATCTGAAAACCCGTTGAAGTTGTGTGGTAGAGGTAACCTGGGGGTGACGGATAAGGCTTCGTGGATGCGTTCCCATGATTTCCGGT